CCATGACAGAAACAAACAGCCTCAATGTCCTGTCATCAGTGACAGGACCGTGATGGATGCCTGGTGGAATTCTGACTGACTGTCAGCTGGTGGGTGACTGTAACCATATCCCCCACCTGTGACCAGGACGATGCAACCATGATTATTAAATCCCATAATAGCATCACTTACTACATTTATAACTTTCAAATGTGTTCAGGGATTTATAATTATCACAGAATCACAATGTTGAGGCTGACTATAAAATATTGATGTACGCTTACAGCAAATAAAACACAGGTTGTGCACACCTGACAGAAAGTGATGCTTGCATTTTATGATTTTATGATTATTGCTGACTTGTGTTTCTGAACATGAATGATTATTTTATTGCACAGCTCATGGTCTAATGTTCAAATGTAAATACATTATGTGTAAATACTTTTGGCAGTAGTGTATATGCTGACAGCCTCCTGCAGCAGCTCACCCACACTGGACACCTTTTGAGAAGAGAACTGTTTTCCCTCCCGATCAACCTGACAGTTTGCCAATTTTTTTTAGAGGCAGACCAAAAATCTTTTTCAATTTTTAACATCTTCATCATGTTTTGTACAATACGTCCACCACCCCTCCTGTGGACAAGTCCTTGCTTTTCTTCCATCTATTGTCCCTCACACCCAACATATCTGTCCTCCTCCTATCTTCATTCTCTCTGGTGTGATTTTACAGAACATAAAAACATTTACAGTGACTGCTCTCATCAGCACAATCCTGCCTTTCCTGCTCTCCTGCTGCCTCCTAACATTCTTTTTTAATGACCTCCATGTTTTGCAGTTGCTTCCTGACACATTTCCTTCCTGACAAAGCCCTGCCCATGTATCTGGGTTTGAGATCAACAGTAAGAGTGCATACTGGGCTGGGCTTCCCTGTCGTGTACACACTCTGTACTACAAACATTTATCACACTTTCATTGAGAGTTTTAATGCAATTAAGCATTTATTTTCTGCTATACAAAGACTCTACAGGTGCCTAGAGCTCTACACCTGTAGATTTTTTTTTTTTATCAAGCTAAGCTTCCTCGTGTGATTAGTGAAATACTTCCATGCTTACCAAGTGTAGCTTATAAACAATGTAAGCTGCAAAGAGAGGGAAGCAGTGGTTTGTGTTTTTGGAATGATAGATAAAAGTCCTCATCAGTGTAGTAGGACTTGACTTAAGCGGCCAAAGAAATGCAGGAGACTGATGCTGTCACCGTTTTGTGACCCAAACAATATTTACAAAGAAACAAATAAGAAACTCAACTCCAAATTAACTCAGTTCAAATAAACATAACTGAACTTAAATCAATGAAAATTACGGTCAAACTGCACACAGCTACACTGACCTGGTCCTTTCTCCTCAAACACCTGAGTTCTGCTTAAATAATAATAATGGATTGCATTTATATAGCGCTTTTCGGGACCCCTCAAAGCTTTAAAATACCACTATTCATTCACTCTCACACACTGGTGAAGGCAAGCTACAGTTGTAGCCACAGCTGCCCTGGGGTAGACTGACAGAGGCGAGGCTGCCATATCGCGCCATCGGCCCCTCTGGCCAACACCAGTAGGCGGTGGGTGAAGTGTCTTGCCCAAGGACACAACGACCGAGACTGTCCGAGACGTGGCTCAAACCGGCAACCTTCCGATTACAAGATGAACACCCAACTCTTCAGCCACGATTACCCCAAATAATCCACTTAACCAAACAATTTCACCACTGGACTATTCCATTCATTAGGTAGATAAGATGAAAATGATTATATTCAAACCTCTACTGCCACTCTTTACTAGCAACATAAACTCTGGTGTAATCAATACACATGACAATAAATCTATTTCTCCATAAACCCTCTAAAATCAACTTTCTTAAATTAAATTACAAGAGTTTTCCCCCTTCGCTTGGTCTCTTCCTGTGACCTCAGATGAACCCAGAAGTATATAAAGCAGGAAGTAAAACTACTTTCCTCCTTTTGTTTCTGGAAGACAGGTAGGTAAGGTTAGTTCTAACTAAACCAATTAACAGTTGAAATAAATAACATGTTAACTTAACAAATTTGTAGGAATTGATTTAAACCAAAATGTTATATTATATAATCTGTAAAAGTGCAAAACATAAACAAACCCGGGATAGTAGACGTTTGCCTATTGCAGACTACATATGAAATATGGTTAAATCGTGATCGTGTGGAAACGTAACCTGATCGTGGCTCAAGAGTTGGGAGTTCGCCTTGTAATCGGAAGGTTGCTGTTTCGAGCCCCGTCTTGGACAGTCTCGGTCGTTGTGTCCTTGGGCAAGACACTTCACCCACCGCCTACTGGTGTTGGCCAGAGGGGCCGATGGAGCAATATGGCAGCCTTGCCTCTGTCAGTGCGCCCCAGGGCAGCTGTGGCTACAACTGTAGCTTGCCTTCACCAGTGTGTGAATGGGTGGATGACTGGGTGTGTAAAGTGCTTTGGGGTCCCTAAGCGGGACTAGCAAAAGCGCTATATAAATACAGGCTATTTACAAAAATTATCATAAAATAAATAATGTATTAATGACTTAAAAAAAAATCACACTTTTTAAACTCATGTAATGGTTTATTTAACTCCTGGTAAAGGTGTATAAACTCTTAATTTAGCCTTTGAAAACCAGTTCTTAAGTTCATGATTTAACATACTAGATGTGTGACTGTAGCTGGGTGTGAATATATAATAGAACTTATAAGTTAAGTTATATAATAAGTTATAACTTATAAAATTGTAAAAATTATCGTAAAGTGTATAATTTATTAACAACTTTTTTTTAATCACACTTTTTAAACTCGTGTAAATGTTTATTTCTGACACCCCTGGTCCTCCATACTGATCAGGTGAAACAGCGGTTTATTAGCTGGTTTGACATAACATCCAATGAAGGCCTCAGATTATTATTTTACATTCGTTATTAACATTTAACCTTCACACCTTTAGAATCTTTTACATTTTAAACTATGATATTTTTGAACTCAAACCTAAAACAGAAAAAATCTTTTTACTAGATTCTAAACACTTGATTATACAGACAGACGAATAGGCGCCACCTTACCTCATAATTTCCTGTAATTTCCTTTTTTTCATGCAGTGGAATTTCCTCTCACAGGGGCACAGGGATATTGCTCAGGGTATCAGTCATACACCGCATAAAATAACTTTAGGTAAATTTAATAGCTTTAAAGAGCATCTGTATATTCTTTATTATTGTTTTTTTAATCCAGGAAACTACCAACAATGAAGCTGTGGGAGATAAGAAAGGAAATGCTGTTAAAAACAGCTTTAACCGCGTTTGTCCTCTCATGTTTCCTGGGACGTCTGGACTGTGAAGGTAAGATGTGTTAATCCTGTAAAACATTAAATTGTAGTTAAATTCAAATGCTAATATACAGTACAGGTTCAGTACATCAGCCTCTCAACTGTCTGGCCTTATGTACAGGTCCTTTAGAAATAAACTATGAAATAAATAACAAGCCATCGCTGTCTGGTACACAAACATCAACAAATTTCTGTATTAAACACCCTGAATGTGACTGACAAGTACAAACAGGTTTTTATACCTTTGTTTTATCATTTTGTATAGACTCTGGCCTTTTCCACAGAGTATGTGAAGCCATTTTACCCATTTTAGCTCAGTAAAACCCACACCACAGTCTACAAATGTTAAAAAAAAAGCGTATAAACTCTGAAGTTAGACATTCAAAACCCACTGAAGTTCATGATTTAACATGCTTGTGATGGACAGAGTTGAAAAACAGGAGGAGCCCAGGAATTATTAGAAAAATATGGTTTCCATTTATTTAACCCCCCAAAATTATATTTACAAGACTAATAAATGTTGAGCTCATAAAAGAGGTCCAAGAATCAAAACTGAACTCAGGCAAAGACTGCAAACTTAAACCAAATGACTGCTCAAACATACATAATTGACCTAAACATGAAATATGTTTAGGTCATATATGAAAAATGACATACAAGGGTATATATAATGGCTGATCAGACCATTGTGACACATGAGGGGTAACAAACAAAACACAATCATAAATCACAAACGATGCAGTACAATCTAGGTTGTTAATAAACTAAACACCAAAGAAGAAAATCAAAAACCCAATTAAACCCTAAACTCAAATATTTAATTAAATACAAATACTTTGTTTTTAAAGTAAAGAAAACACACATTCCCCCCCTTCGGCAGGAAGTGGTGGTATGGTCCAATTATCTTCCTTTGTATTTAATGGTTTCAAACCCTGGCTACCATCTTTTTGTCCGGCAACTCCCAGGGATGATAGCAGGTAAGAAATAAAAAGACAAAGGTTAGTCAGAAAGCAAAGAAATGAAGTGGTATGAATACATAAGTAAACTAAATGTGCGCGCTTACAAATAGAACAAATGTATCCAAACCAATCAATAAAGTTATTGGAAACTAAAATGTATTACTATGTTCAAATGAAGAATGAAAATACGAAAGTTACCGACTTTAGAGTGTGGCCACGGGTTTGGCCATCACAATGCTGGATGTGTAAACATATCTGGGTCTGAATGTAACGCAGTAAAGCTTTTTTTACTCGCTTATAAATTCCCACAGAATTTACACAAAAATAAAAACTCAGGTTTCTGATAGTTGAAGCACAATAATAAGCGTGTTTGAATTATTGGATGCATATTATCTTTATGACTGACCTGTTTTCTAATTATTTTAGAGCTAACAGTCAAACAAGCAAAGGATGTAACTCTGGAGTGCTATGGCCCCAGTGATGCTAACATAATGATAAGCTGGCAAAAGCCTGACCTGCAGTCAGAGTATTATGTGTTCTACTTCAGCGATGAACACATTCACAAAGACAAACAGCATGAATCATTTAAAGGTCGAGTGGAGCTGAAAGATCCAGAGATAAAGAATGGAAACTTTTCTGTGATTCTCAAAAATGTCACCATGAACGACGCTGGAAAATATGAATGTTATGCTGGATCCAACAGACAGAGACCTCAGCTTTTGAAGAGCATCAACCTGAAGGTAGAAGAAGAAGGTGAGTGTGAAGTTGAGCTGCTTCCTGGTTGTTGATGTTTGTTTCTAAAGATGTTGTTGATGATGTGATCAGAGTGCAGTAGATAATGTCTGACAGCAGTTTGAAGAGGAAATGGATTCTGTTCTGTTCTTCACTCATCACCTACCTGACAGCTGACACCTCACACCTGTTTCTCACCTGCAGGTCAGACAGTACTCGATAAGGACAAAGACCAGAGGAGTGGAGCTGATGGCGTAGAAGTTGACATGTCGATTTCCGTTGTGCTTGCTGCTGCTGTTTTGTTGTTTTAGCCGTCTGTTGAACTGCAGCCAGTTTGAAAGGCCACAGATGGAAATATCACAGTGTATATTCACTCCACCCACCCACTCAGCATTCACAGTGACAGATGTGCTGAGGACAGACAGAAGTTAACGATGCACAATTAAACTGGAATTTAGCACCTGGAGGAAACATTAAGTTATGTTCGTGTTTGTGATTATCTGAAGTTTCCTGCTCAACATACATGTTTGTTTACATTGTTATCTGCTGCCTTTTTTAGTCACCATCAAATATCACTGAGCTATTATGAATTCTGAATTTTACATTTTGATATTTTTGTCCTACATATTTTTCATTTTACATTTTATTTTTTATATTTTACATGTTTTTTGCATTTTTAAAGGCTTAAAATACTGTTGAGAACGAAGGTTACATTATATGTAAAGAGGGCCAAATATAAGCCCTGACGGCCATCACTAGTCCACTGGATGACTTTGAAAAATATAAAATGTGAATTAAAAAAGAAAAAGTAAGATGTTGGACTATTTACTGTATTTTGTCATTAACAGTGGATAACATCATGAGAATCGATCATAGATTAATTTTTTTTTAGACTATTAGTATAAAGAACAAAGTTTTTATAACAAATTTTCAGGATTGATGAATCTGTAACATCAGCAAAATGTTTTACACTTGGTCATGTGCAATAAAGGACATGTGAATGAATCCAGTGCATGTACGAGCAGATTAACACCAGCCTGGCTTGCAACAAACACTCTGAGAGAGATCGTTGTATTATTGTTAGATATGCTGTTTCTACTACTTTACTTTCAAACCATCTGTCCTCTCTGTCCAAAACGTGAACATCGGCATCCTTGAAAGTGTGACCTTTGACCTTTAGGTGCAGATGTAGAGCTGAGTCTTGCCCTGTCGAGGTGGCGCGTCTATGTTTTGTGGCTGTTTGGTCTCACCAGTGTAGAGGTCTGAGCACTCCTCGCTGTACTGCACAGCACACACTATGTTGACTGGCTTGTGTTTGGGAGTTTTGTCCTTGGGATGAAACATCTGTGAACGACCATCTCTGAACAGAGGAGGTGGCTCACAACACCGACTGTCCGCCACCTACAACCCAGTTTTGAGATCTTGATCACATCCTGCAACAGCTGATCTCAGTAGGTCACATGACAGGATGAGGCAAGATCTCACAATGGTGGTAAATGTGGTATTGGAACCATTTTACCGGTTGTAGGTTGATTGGTGGGTGTGATTGCAAACCTGCTTGATCAGGGATGAGTTCATTCCTTGTGTTACAGTGCCATCTTGTGGTGGTTTTGAGAATCGTTGCGAATAGAGTTTGTGCAGTACATTTAAGAATGGTGCGCTTCTTTAATCGGACTGTTAAGAGGCCCGTTCCAATAATTTTTATTCCATATTTATGCTGTAATGATTTTTGTCCTTTTTCAGAGAATCCACATATTATTTAACACTCATCTACTATCACACTACATATAAAATGAATTGCATCTCTTACAGCTCGATCCCGTGGTGTAAGCCTCTCCTAATGACCGAGGATAACCAGAGTAGCACAAAGTTGAACAGACGCGCCTCATTCTGAGCAGAATTATTCAATTATGTTTTCATACATGTGCGGATGCAGGTGTGTGAGTGAGAGAGCAAGAGAAGGACTGAAAGAAAGCATGGAGGACTTGACTAAACCATGTAATCAAGATGTAAATCAACTTTGGGTTTGAATCAGCTCCAAGTACACAGCTGAGTGTGACAAGTGTTGTTGGCTTGTTTAGAAACATTTTGTGTCCTGATAGAATCAAAATTGTATTAACATCAGCTTCTTTTCAGCAGTTAGTAAGTTTGTGTCTCTTGACACTGTGGGGAAAATTGTATTTCATCTTATTTAACCTCACTGTATAAGGCAGGTACCTACATGACCATGACAAAAAAACAAACAAAAAAAACCTTCCTACAGCTGATTCTATCCACTCTGAGTTTTTTTCTCTTCTTTTCATCCTGCATTGATTCCTTTGCAAATGATTTTATTAATAAATCTGAGGATATCAGTTTTGGTTTCAATGGTCAGTTTATTTTTCCACAGCAGATGCCAGCTGGATTGGGAATTATGACCATGTTTAGTTAGATCTGGTGACTACTCTTTGCTTCTTTGCCTCTCACTGGCAGGTCACAGTATATGTTAAAAACAGTATATGCTAAAAGTACACAGGGTGGGTCAAAATTTGACCACCTTTCACAATTTTTTCCCATCATGTTGGAGGCTTCGTAGCTTCATTAGTACAGATGATAAACTGATTAAGTGCTAATCAAAAACTGCAACCAAAACAGTTTTATAATCCCAATTCCAAAAACAGGATCCCGTGTAAAATGTAAAGAATCACATAATGCAATGATTTGCAAATCTCAGAAACACAACTTTTAATCACTGTAGAAAATAAAATCGTCAAATGTTTAAACTGGTAAAATGAACTGCTTTAAGAAAAAAATGTCTGCTTAATTTGTATTTAACTTATAGAGAAAATTGATGTAGAAAACATCAGGCAGGATCTTTTAGGCTGTGTTTGGCCCTGTGTCATCACACAGACAAGTATCTGCCTTTTTCCCTAAAGCCTCTTAAGATCCTGCTGAAACAGGTCATAAGATTGGGACCGGAATCTCTGTGGTGACAAAAGAGCCTAGAGAAAGTGTGTAAGCAGCCTCATACAGTCAGGAGGAGTGAAATGTATCATTAAACTCACAGCTCAGCTCCTGGAAGCAGGCTCCTATAGACGGGCTGGACTTAGACTGGAGTTTCCCTCAGTGAGAGGCAGCGAGAGGGCATGAGTGTTTCTCCGGTTCAGTACCTGTAAACTGAGGTTTCCTGTGATGGATGAGACAGTTGTCTTATTTCACTTTGAGCTGAATGTTTGTAAAAGGACCCAGAAATACTATTCAAGTGCACTGAAACCTGGCAGTTCATCAGTCACCATTACAGGTCTGGGACCCTTCATTCTCACGCTGTATAATCTGCTGCTGTCACTTCATTCGGCTTGGTGCTCTCCTGCCTGCCATTGTGTAATAATGACTCTTAGCTTCTTTGTTTGTTGATGTTTTCTGTTCCATAAATCTGTCTGATACAACACCCTATGTGACCGATCTCCTTTCCTCACTCGATTAGTTTCTAATTAAAAAGCAGTATGTCCAAAACCAACAACAGGCCACCAGGAAACAGATTTAAATGCTGCTCTGAGAGTCCTGACAGGGACTAGAAAGAGAGAGCATATTTCTCCTGTTTTGGCTTCCCTTCATTGGCTTCCTGTTAAATCCAGAATTTAATTCAAATCCTGCTCCTCACATACAAGGTCTTAAATAATCAGGCCCCATCTTATCTTAATGACCTTGTAGTACCATATCACCCTATTAGAGCACTTCACTCCCGCACTGCAGGCCTACTTGTTGTTCCTAGAGTATTTAAAAGTAGAATGGGAGGGAGAGCCTTCAGTTTTCAGGCCCCTCTTCTGTGGAACCAGCTTCCAGTTTGGATTCGGGAGACAGACACTATCTCCACTTAAAACTTTCCTTTTTGCTAAAGCATATAGTTAGGGCTGGACCAGGTGACCCTGAATCCTCCCTTAGTTATGCTGCAATAGACGTAGGCTGCCGGGGATTCCCATGATGCACTGAGTATTTTTTCTTCAGTCACTTTTTTCACTCACTATTTGTTAATTGTCCTCTCTGCATTAAATCATACTTGCTATTAATCTCTGGATGTTTTCCACAGCATGTATTTTATCCTGTCTTTCTCCCCTCACCCTCAACTGGTCACAGCCCTCCCTGAGCCTGGCTCTGCTGGAGGTCTCTTACTGTTTTCCTTCCCTTTGTTGCCAAGTGCTTGATCATAGGGGGTCTTCTGCTTGTTGTGTTTTTTCTCTGTATTATGGCAAGATCTTCACATTACAATATGAAGCATCCCAAAGGAAACCGTTGTTGCGATTTGGTGCTTTTGTATTGACATTATATTGGATGGGTGTTCTAAACCAGCAGAATATGTCTTATACTGTCACAAGATACATCATTTCTATGAGGCCTTTCAGGTGAAGCTCTTTTTTAAAGATGAACAGCTCTGAAACAGGATCCTGTGTTTTTTAGAACTCCACCCTTGTTTTTCTTTTTCGTTCTGAAACAGATTAACTCCATCTTCCTTGAAAGGCAAACACAGCGAGCTGCTGAAAATAAACACACCAGTCATCCCACTCACTTTAGTTCAACAACTTTGGGGTAATGTAGGCAGATTTAAAGTTTAATGTTTTTAATGTTTGCCTCAGCAGGTGAAATCTAGCTTGTACACACACACACACACACACACACACACACACACACACACGCTCATTTTCATATCTTAGTGAGGATATCTCATTGCATGATGCTTTCCCTAGCTGCTAACCCTAACCTTCAAAAATGAATGCCTAAACCTAACCTTAACCTAATTGTAACCCTGACACTAAAGCAACATTTTGTGCCTCAAAAATCCCTTCAAACTCATGTGGATCCATATTTTGTGCCCATAAGTGACTGTTGATCTCCACAAGTAGAGCTGTAGAGTAGCATGCCAATTTTCTGTTCTCACAAATAGGTCTAAACATGGCCACACACAGTACAGGTCAGTCTGGGAACATTCCTGGAATGCACTGTTGTGTTGTTATCTTAGTGCTCTCCCAGAGTATACTACCAAGCCAGTTTACTTATACTGACAAATCCAAGCCAACATATATGGGAGTAAGGGCAATCAGTCTTTGGCAGATCCAACATCCTGACTCTAAATTTCAAAACAACACCACACACTGATGTGACCTGTGCTCATTGATTCATTCCCGTGGCTTGACACTGCGCCACAAATAAAGAGTTAAAGCAGCCTAAAACTGATCTGTTTCAGAAAGGAGGTTCAGCGCAAAGTCTGATAACCTGGATATGAGTGTCTGTTACCACCTGACTCCTCCCCTTCTTCTATACCTGCTCTATTTACTTTTTAGCTACACTCAAAGCTTTTGTCTGCAAGTTTATTACTTTACAAACATTGAAATCAGGGTTAAATCAGTTCTTAGACAACAATCTCTCATCAGTGTGAAGGCAGGGAGGGCTCACAATGAAATCTATACATTTTTTCAACTCTGTGACAGTGAACGGTCCAGCTGCTGTTCCTACTGTAATAATTGCTGTTTAAATAAAGTCTGTTTGCTTATGACTCATTTGTTATTTTGGGATCTGTCACACTGAAGGAACAGATCACACCATACCTGTGCTCTCTGTTTGCTTCTCCCTGTGAGCTGAGCAGTTTGTCCCCTTACCTCTCTGCTCTGTGTTGTTTCCTCTTTCCGACCAGAAGATCTTCACAGCTTAGTCTGGACAGAACGTCACTCTGACATGTCGAGCTCCAAATATCAGTGTTCCCATCAGAGCTGTGGAGTGGTTCAGACTTGACCTGCTGGAAGGACATGTTCTCATGTACCGGGGGGAGCAGTTTGTTTCATTCAACCAGCTTCCATCGTTTGTGAACCGGGTAGATCTGCAGAACAGACGGATGCAGGACGGAGACGTGTCTTTGGTTCTGAAGGATGTGACAAGAAATGACACTGGAACATATCAGTGTTATGTCATTCAGAGAGGAAAGAACCACAGGAAGTGCACTGTGGAACATATCAGCATCATCTACCTGAGTGTTGTTGA